GTCTCAAAAAAAAAAAAAAAAAAAAAAAAGCTGCAAAAACAGGCTTGGCACCTGTAGCTCAGGCAGCTAGGGCGCCAGCCACATACACCGGAGCTGGCAGGTTCGAATCCAGCCCCAGTCAAAAAATAGCTGGGTGTTGTGGTGGGTATCTACAGTCCCAGCTACTTGGGAGGCTGAGGCAAGAGAATCACTTGGGCCCAGGAGTTTGAAGTTGGTGTGAGCTGTGACACCACAGCACTCTACCTAGGGCGAAAGCTTAAGACTCTGTCTCAAAGAAAAACAGTGCCGTTCTTTTCACTAAATTTGTTTTGAAAACTATTGTTTTCAGAAAATATGATTTTTTTTTTTGAGATTAGAGTCTCACTTTGTCGCCCTCGTGGTGTCATAGCTCACAGCAACCTCCAACTCTTGGGCTCAAGTGATTCTCTTGCCCCAGCCTCCCAAGTAGCTGGGAATACAGGCACCCACCACAATGCCTGGCTATTTTTTTTTTTTTTTGAGACAGTGTCTCAAGCTGTCACCCTGGGTAGAGCGTTGTGGCTTCACAGCTCACGGCAAACTCCAACTCTTGGGCTCAAGTGATCCTATTGCCTCAGTTTTTCTATTTTTAGTAGAGATAGGGTCTTGCTTTTTCAGGCTGGTCTGAAACTTGTGAGCTCAAACAATCCACCCACCTCAGCCTCCCAGAGTGCTAGGATTATAGGCTGTGAGCCACCACCCCAGGCTGATAAAAAGTATTATTTATCTTAAAATGTAGTGGGCCTACTACATGAAAATGAATCTCTCTCTCTCTCTCTATATATATATAATATATACACACACACACATACTTTTGTTTTTTTGAGACAGAATTCCTAGGCTTGAGTAATCCTCTTGCCTCAGCTTCCCAAGTCGCTGAGACTATAGGCGTGTGTCACTTTGCTGGACTAGTTTTTCTATCTTTAGTAGAGACAGAGTCTTACTCTTACTCAGCCTAGTCTCAAATTCCTGAGCTCAAGCAATCCACTTGCCTTGGCCTTCCAGGTTTTTTTTTTTTCTGAGACAGAGCCTCAAGCTACCCCCCTGGGTAGAGTGCCATGGCTTCACAGCTTACAGCAACCTCCAACTCCTGGGCTCAAGTGAGTCTCCTGCCCCAGCCTCCCAAGTAGCTGGGAACACAGGCACCTGCCACAACGCCTGGCTATTTTTTTTTGGTTGCAGCCGTCGTTGTTTGGCGGGTTCGGGCTGGATTCGAACCCACCACCTTAGGTGTTATGTGGCTGGTGCCTTAGCCACTTGAGCCACAGGCGCCGAGCTGGTCTTCCAGAGTGTTAGGATTACAGGCTGAGCCACCACCCCAGGCTGATGAAAAGTGTTATTTATGCAAAAATGTAGTGGACCTACAACATTAAAATGAATCAATC